ATTCTGTAGGTCGACGATACATATTCTGCCAGAGTGTTATATTTGCCTTCGTCCCCAGGGCCTACAATAACCATTTGCCTTCCTTCAAAATATACTTTGGGACACAAAAATTAGGTTAAGCTCGAATGATATGTACGAAGTAATTAAAAGCGCTTTGATAATGAGTGAACTCCAGTGGGAAGTAGACCAAATCCTCACCAGCGGTCGCTTGCAAGTCGTGGAGATTAGCGTCTAGTCAGTGGGCGGCAGTGTGACTTTGTTTCGCCCAGATTTCTTTCCACCCCATTCCATATGTTAAGTCTGAACATCTGTCCTCTGAAGCAGCAGAAATGAGTCTCCCCTTCCTAATATATGAATTTATGTATATGCATATACTATGAAGGGAAAAAAGGAGAAGTGAACACACTAATGTATTTTGTTTGCCACTTGTAATGTGTCGTAGGGTTGGCAAAGTTCCAACTCAAGCCATGCTCAGAATAGTCAATGAGGTGTCTTCCGCGCCTTCATGAGGAGACTAGATCAAGTACATAATTTAACGAGAGGTCAGTCAGCCAGCATTGCCTTGACCATCCAGCAAAATGTCGACTTTGGAGTTGCTTTGGCCCTCAAAATCTGCTTTGCGCAACTGATTGTTGCACAATGTGCACAGATGAAAGGGAGAGCAGCGCTGGCGTGTTCCTCCATTTGGCATCCCCAGCCTCGTTTCCCCCTTCCATCAGGACTCATTTTAGTGAATCCACTGTGCAAGCAATGTTTGTGTACTCAGCTTACACTCAGGTGGTCTGATGCCATCCATTGAGTGTTTAAAGAGCGCAATGGGGTCGGCGTGGATGTGGAGCAGTTAGTTCACCCTTTTGCTTGTGACCCAACATAGAGGGGATGAAATCCTGCCTAGTGATGTGTCTGCTGACAGCTCCAACTTAAACAATTGTGGGTGCAATTGTGAGCCCAGTAGAGCAACGTCGCTCACAAATATACTGCGGACTTCCAGAGGCGGCTACCTTTCACCATGGCTTCCGCGTTCATTCAATCGATGTGAGTTGACTGGCATCACGGTAGGCATCCCAAGGCATTATTCAGGACTACATGTCACCTTTACTAATCCAGTCATTGTGGTGTCTTCATTTGCAATCCAAGCTAAACTGTGGGTTCACCATTCACCCTTATTCTTGCCAATTTCTCCTACCTGCGAGGCATAATTTAAATTTTCCTTAGGAAATATTATAGGGTAAATTTGAGCCATGAGTACGACCGCTCGAATCAAGACGGTTTGGTGAATATGGCAGTTCATTTGAAACTATTCAAATGCATGATCTGTACGAATAAGTGTATTTAAAAACCTTGGAATGGAACGCAACGAAAACCACTTTAAATGCTATGCAATACCACGTTTGTCGATGTACTCACTTTCTTGTGAAATAGACCTCCTGTCGGCGTGAGATTTGTGACAATTACTACAGTCGTAAAGTAGACCGCATACAGTGACTCGCATTACCAGGGGAAAGTGAAATCCGATTTTGGTTGTCCGAGGTTCCCCTGAAGACGAAAGAGAATATAATACTGGGGCAGGATATACACATTTTTGACATAGGCTAGGGCTTGTGGGCTACTGGTATGGCTCGGAGGTCAAGCCGTCCAGTGGAAGTGCAAAGGCTAAGCCCTAGGCACTTGCCAAACAAAAACACAGAGTTAAGCATTCAACCAAAGCATTGCGTAGCCCTTCTCTTCCTTTAACTTGCATCCCCAGCACTGCTCTTGGTCAGCCTCTAGCGTCAGCAGTCACGAAGTAGTCGCTGTTGTAGGGAAACACACCCAACAGTTAACCAGTTGCTCCAGTCATCGAATTCACATGCAACGGCGAAGGCACGTGACTGCAACGCCACTGATCCCTCTTGGCAAATCCACCAGGCCTGGAGTTTCCTTGTGTTTGGGAGCAATTGGGGGAGGGGGCAATGCTCTGGCCATCACGTGGATCCATCGCTAGTGGTAGGAACAGTGGCCTAAAAGGCGGGTAATTTGAGTTTAGGCGGAGCTTTGACATAGTACCTTGGTTATAGCGGTTTGCATCTGTTCCTCCTTGTCACTTTGTCCTCCCTTCAGTGCTACCCAGCTACGTTGATCTGGCGGAGCACCTCAGTGGACCAAGAAGCAAGCAAACAACCAATATTCTACAGCACTGAAAAATTTTAGTCTATTTAGTCTATCAAACGCCACCTAAATTGGAGGTACTGTCCAATTATATCACCTAATTTTAAAACTTCGTTCGCAGGGGATTATTTGGAACAAACAGGCGATCTAATCTACAGCACGTCCATGGACGTTCATTTAGGCAGTATGGCATGGAACATGCAGTGGCACAACACGGGCTTGTTTTAACCCTCTCTGCTAACATAATTTACATTTCTCTCAGTGGACACGAAAGCTTTCCCGCCCTCATCCCTTATTGATGAGACTACTTAGACATTTGTACTTATCTCTCGTTGCAGGTTCACGAAATTGCTGTTTTGTTTTGTGATCCACCGCATCCAACGTCCACACAACAAACATACAAAGAGACATTGAATGGTTGGATTCCCAATTGTGCTCGCCACCGCTTCGGAGATCAGCATTCCATCTCAATTCATTAACACTTTCCTTCAACCCGCAAAAATAAGTATTTTCCTTTGACTTGCCCTTTTTTGCCTATTGCCATGACATTAACAGTTTACACTAATCCAATGAACAGAAGTTGGTCTAACTCAATCAAAACTGCAGGAATTGGTTTAGAGAAAACCGCAAATATTGCCTATGTGATACTTTAATTGTCTGTCCAACTCTCGGTTTTGTTAAAGGGACCATCCATGAGTTCCTCAATTTTACCTCACCCGGACACCCTGGCTTCTGGCCATGCCAGTAGCCCCAGACCCGTCTGCACATCCGCAATACATATTCTACCCAAGTTGGTATGTCTTCCTTCGTCCTCAAGGAGGTCCCAGTGAACTACTCTTTTACCCACTGCTCCTGATTTATCACACTACTTTACAGAATTTACACAATAATTTGAAGTTAAATCACCGAATCACCCAGCTTAAGTCATGCGCCTGCCAACACGTTTAAATGAGCGGTGGCTGCACAAACTGTGAACTTTCCAACAAATGGTGTGTGCCTTCTGGCGAAGCACGATCACAGAAGCGCACAATCCAAGTTCCTTCTGTTTCCACTTTGTTCTACGTTCCATATAGTATTTCATTTGGTTAACACAAATTAAGAGTGTTATAACATTCTTGATAAGAAAAAATTGCCTTTGGGATATCTTCCTATTGCATACCTTCTGTTCCCTCCTCGTAGAATGGGGTTTTGTGCAGCCCAGTAAACCTCTTCGCTGGATGGATGAAGGGAGAAACAATTAATTCCAGCAAAGAATAGTGTTGATTGATACCCTACCTAGAAAGTTTTTAGACATTAAAACAGATGAGATCACACTTTCCATAAACTGATTCGCTGCTCACAGATTCACATACCAAACGGAGGGGATTCTAAGTGTTTTAACTAAAAATCTCCCCTCAGCTAAAGCGAAACCATGTGAACGGATTTGCCTGGCTAATCTAGCAAAGGTCAGCCATGGAATTCCAAGGCAAGGTGATGATGGTGAGGGAAGTGAGAGAGGGAGAGTAGTGTGAATTAGGCATGTGTTGGTGGCCCAGCCCCTTTTCTCCGCTGTGAGGGCGGGGCCCTGCAAAAGGCGAGCAGGTTAAATGTCGGCTTGTTGACGTAAATGGGAGATGGGAAGACGGATGCACACCTGGACGGAAATGGGGTTGCCTCAAGCACCGCCCTGTTAAAACATACTGAAATGATCCAAAATTGGACCCAAACTAGGAAACCCTTTATTTGTGTAACGGGTAGTATA